TACACAGAGGTGCTGGGGGTGGTGTGCACAGAGAGGGCAGGAAAACTCCCCACTAATCGCATACTTTGCCCTAAGCATTTCTTCTGCTCGCCATTCTTCCTGATCCTTTACAACAACCCAATAAATGTGAGGTGTTTTCTGAGTTCTGCAAGCAAACCCACAGCGGGGAGAGGTGTCATGGTAAAGTCAGTTTACAGCCAGTTGACCCAAAGCACAGCCTGATCCCCTAACCTGTGGGATCAGACACTACATCCAGGAAGTAGCATCAGAATTGCAGTGAATCACCACACACCCAGCTGGCGTCTTCTGGACAATTGCTTGGTGTGTGTGCAAAACACCTAAACATTTAATCATCAGGTTCTGTGCTGAGCATGAGTGCAGCTAGAAAAGTTTGTTTGGTCCATATCGTGTCCAACCTGTAAAGATTGTTTATAGTTTATTTTTTAAAAAGGTATGTGAAGTCCTTTTTAAAACTAGAGAGCTATAGAAATTATGTACTGCAGAAATGATAGAATGGTATCAACACTGTATGATCAACTATTATGTTAAATGTTAACATGGCAGAAATCTTGGGAGAGAACTAATGCAGCCTAGATTTGTTGGAGAAGGAGTTCACGGAAGTGATAGAACTCAAAGGAAGTATAGGATTTGGATGGATAAGAAGGTACATTTGAAATGGGACAGTGGAGCAAACAGAGGGAAGCATGGACCAGCATCCTTCCTGGCGTATGAGTGCGATGAGTGACAGGAAATCTGACTACAGACAGGGTGGAGACAGCCTGTAGGGACTTGATGGTGGGCAGGTAAAGGAGCCTGGACCTGACCCAACAGAGAAAAGGAAGAGTCTCGGGCAGGCGTGTCGGGGACCACAACACGATGGCTAGTCGTGTGTACTTCCCGAAGGATGAGTGGCATCTTAGACTATTGGACTTACTCTTTTTAAGTTTCCTCTTATCTCATTAGAGGTGGGCCGTCCTCTCCCACCTACTAAGACTAAGACCACTAGGCCTAAGTCTAAGACTAAAAACACTGCCATGGCGAAAGCCTTCTTAGCACAAGACCACCCCTGTCCTCTGAATCATCCAATAGTTCCCCCACAGTCAGTGAACGCCAGGGTTCTGGCTGCCTCGTGGCTTTTTGTTCATCATGAACAAGTGGTCATCCTGGGTCCCTGCTGTGCTGCCACTTTGTCTCTTGATGTTTTTTGATTTCTCTCACCATCTGCTGTAACACCTCACAGGAGACTGGAGGCTCAGAGCAGGAGTCCCTGACACAGGGGTCTTTGGGAAGATTCATTCATCCAACAAATAGAGCCCGTAGTATGTGCCAGAACTCTGCTTGATGCAAGAGATTCCAGTGGTGATCAAAACAGACCATGAGCAGTGAAGGAATCTGATCAGAGGATTTCTGAGATCTTCATGAACTTTATCTTTTTTTTATTTGAATAGTAGTTATTCTCTAGCAAGCTCAAAGATAGCTAGATGCACCACCAGCTCCAATTTAAAAGGTATCTGTAGTCAGATATGCTAATTCCATTTGCTTTGTGAGTTCATGTAGTTTATCCAGAAGGAAGTTTATAAATATACAGCGTGGTCATTCATACTCCAGGAACCTATTACTGATGATCGTGGCACCCATAAAGATAAAATAATTTACTTTAACACAGTCCCTTTTGCATCTCCTTGGTCATGTTTGGCCTGGGGGAGTGGCACTGCCCAATTCTATTTTTCAAAGATGTTCAATAAACATTACCTATCTAAGGACCATCTCCGGAAAAGAGATGGTCTTCTCAGATCTGTACATCTCAGATAAATCACTACATACCCACTACAATAAACACTAACTTATTTTTAACAGTTTCTTGTATCACTAATCATGGGTTACTCATGTGGAATCATAAAATTAAAAATAAATAAAAAACAGCTGGCTCATAATGATTTTGCCAAGAAAACTTCAAATATATAAAACCCAGTTGGTTGGCAGAGAATAATGTAGGTAAATATCACTGAATAAATATCAAATGAATAATCCTGGCCATTGAGAATTTTTGCCTTTCACTCCATAAATATTATTTTAAAGTAAATGTCTTCGTTCATCATGCAGAAATATGCATGACAAACTTGAACCAAATGTCTGGAAAGTTAAAATGTGACTAGAAAATTCTAGTAGCGAATAAATTTCTGACTTTAATAACTGAATCCATCTACTGTAATTCATAGCTTGCGAACTCATTTCCAGACTTGTGAAAATTTCTCTCTTTCTCTCTGTCTCTACCTCTGTCTCTCTCTCTGTCTCTCTCTCTCTCTCTCTCTCTCTCTCTCTCTCTCTCTCTCTCTTCCTTTTGTCTTTTTGGCCACAGGATTTTGAAAGACTTTTGCCCTAGTGTAAATTACTAGACATTATGGGGTGGTCTAACATGGTGGAAGGCCAAAGCAAAAGCACTTACCCTAATGACCACTTTCTCTTCCTTTCCTTTCAGCCCTTATTATAACTTTCTCTTTCTTTTCCTGTGCACATGAAGGGAAGGCTAATCAGTTCCTCCTGTCATCAGCGCCTACCCCAAGTGCTGCTTCTGGTCAGAGGTCATAAAACCTCCCACCATGTTTGTGTCTGGTAGAGGAAAAATGCCCAACCCCAGTGGTGTGCTCCTCTCCAGCCCTCAATAAAGGCCACTTTTTCTTTCTTTTTGTTTCTGTATTGTGCTGGAAAACTGTAACATTTTGGTGCTGTGAATTGCATTGGCAGTTTGTGTGGGTCACCCCTGGTTTCGAACTCTCTTGCCTACGAGCCACCCTTCCATCTGCTGGGACCTGCCTATTGCTAGCCTGCATCAACATCAATCCACGTCATCTGTCACAGGTGAGCCATCTTTCCATCCAGGGTTTCCTGTCTCAGTTTCTCAGTCTGTAACAGCTCTCATGCTCCTTAAACAGGGCTACTGCCCCAAGTCCCCAGGCAGAGCTCTTCTCAGCCTTAGAAATTCATGAGCTCACATCAGGGAACCTCTTGCCCTCCCTTGGACAAAGGTAACAGCTCTCACGTTCCTTAGGCAGGACAGCCCATGGCGGAGCTGTTACCCTCCTGTCCTCTGCAATGCCCCCACCTCAGTGATGGCTAATGAGAACTGGTGTTGGGGCTTTCTCTGTCACACTTTCAAAACCAGTGATGACTTCCTTTGATAAAAGTGATCCAGAGAGCTCTCATGCTCCTTGGGCAGGGCTAAAGCTCTCACAGCCCAAGACCAAGTTGTTTTCTTGGTTCACCTCCAATTTGGCCACTATGGGGGAATACTATTGCCTGTCCCCCCACCAAAAGACACATCTCTGGAGTGCCTGGTTCACAGCCTTGGTGCTCTTGGTCTCAGGAATGCCATAAAAACAAAAATCCATCAAGATTTTATAACTTTTGTTATGGCCATGGCCAGTTGTTAAAATCCCTTATGTCCAGGCCCTTTTCACTCTGAAGATGTGTCCTTCTCCTACTCAGTCACGTGTGGCGGCCCAAGTACTCCGGCTCCCTCTACTCCACTGGACCCCTTATATGTTGCCTCCTGTCTTCACTCTCCCCACCCCGTATCCCCAAGCCCAAACCTCTCAGCCTCCTCAACCAGGTTTCTGAGCCCCCTGCTTCACCCTCTCCTCTTTCCTCACCCCCAGTGGCCTCTAACTCTTCCCTTACTTCCTCTCCTCAGTCTCCTCAACCTGAGCCATCTATCCATTGGATGGCCCCTCTTCTTCCTTTCCCTCTGCTCCTGCGTCACCATTCTCCCACTGGCTCACCACACTCAGTCTCTCGTGTTTCAGCCACCTAGCAAACCACATGGAATTCAGTCGCCACCTTGTGATCCCATACTACATGGTCCTCAAAAGCCATCTTGCTGCAGCTCACATGGAGGATAGCTGCCATCTTGCAGTTCTCTGCAATGGGACAGTCCGCCACCATTTTGTTGTGGGTCACGTGGTAACCAGTTGCCAGCCCATGCTTCCCTGTCACATGGTGACGAGCAGCCATCTTATGGTTGATCACCCTGTAACTATCCACAGATGCCTGCTGAGCAGCTGACTGCTTGTTTTTTTTTTTTAAATCGGTACCAGGAATCGAACTCACGACTGCCTGCTTGCAAGGCAGGCGCTTATGCCACTGAGCTAAATCCCCACCCCCTTGATGGCCATCTTTAACTCCCACTCCACAGTGTTCTCAGACTGAGTCCCTATCCCCCTTCAAGGACAGGCTGGGCCTGAGGAACTAGTCCGTATTCATATTCCTTTTTCCCTCGCCAACATATCTCAGATTAACCATAAATAAGGTTCCTTTTTTGTTGCTCTACAAGCTTATATTAGAGTTTTAAATTTATAACTAATTGTTATGATTTACATTTCAAGAATGTTTATGTGGGGGCTGGAGATTTAACTCAGCGGCATAAGTGCCTATCTTTCGAGCAGGCAGTCGTGAATTCGATCCCCAGTACCGATAAAAAGGAAAAAGACAAAAAAAAAAAAAAAAAAAGAATGTTTATGAGGGTGATGTTCTGAACACCACCCTCAGCTCACAAGTGAGGGCTTAGTTATGGCAAACAACTTGAGAGAAAGTCAATCATTGACATCAAACCAAAAATGACCCTGGGTCTGCTATTCTTATTTCAAGAGATCTCTGTTAATTGACCTACAAAAAGCTTCTCATTAGTCTATTTACACTTATAAATGTAAAAACTATAAAAGTTATTATAATTCAAATTGCCCAAATATATTTGAGTGCACTATGATTGTATAATGTGTTTGTCTGTTAAACTGTATATGTTTCTACGTCCAGTCTGAACAGATCATCTATATATGTTTGTTTGGTTTTCATCATGGTTTATGTCTGTGGTCCCCAAGCCTCATGAGTTTGCATTGTGCATTTGTGATGGTTCATTGCCTAGTGCTTGGATTGATAGTTACACCTACATAGGGGTTGATAGGATTATTTCCAAAAGATGAAAAGTATTTCCAAAAGATGAGAAGTATAAAACAAAAAGAGGCCTTTATTCTGAGAACACGGACAGAGGTGACCGGCACCCCCCACCGCTGGAGTCCAGCGATCTCTCTAGCGGACACGTGGCGTGGGGGGTATGTAAGTAGCCTCAGTTTGGGGTGGAACCTAAGGGGGCACCAGGGATGCACGGGTAGCCCATTGGTCCTAGGTTTGGCAAATTCCCAGGGGTGGGGAAGAAGGCATCACAGGTAAATTCCTAGGGGCAGGGGAGATAGGGGCTTCCTGGTTCTGGTTACAGTGTCCGGCCTGTGCCAAAAGGCTTTCATATCCCATCTTATGATTATTATTATGAAAAGGGACGAAGATTTCTCTCTTTAACTACTTCCTGCTGGCAGAGGGCGCTGTATTGGAGCCTAGGGGAGTCGACGGGATGACAGTTGATGCCCAGGTAGAAGCTGGTACCAGGTGTTTTAGCCAAGGACACTTCACTGGTGAATGCACGTATGTTAGACTAGAAAAACAAAGAGAAGATGTTATGAGGAGACATGGCACTGTCATATTTAAGGATCCAGGTGAGGTAGAAGGAAAGGTGCCTTTGATTTAGACATGTCATTATATCAGGACGACATTGAGGTAGGAACATTTCCACGGTAAGGCAGAATTCTGAAAACTAAATGTGGGGTTAGGAGAAGTGAAGTTATGAGAGGCGATTACTCCCCCATCTGAAAGCATAAAGGTTAAGAGGTAGGTTGGTAAGGCTTGTCTCTGGTATGCATGACGTTGGAGTCTGTAGGCAATACTATTAAAGAGTCCTGCTGTAAAAATGATCATTAACAGAATGTAAGGAATTAGGAACCAAAGTAGATAACAAAACATGACTTAGCCTATTAACTGTGGCCCTGAGGCCTTTGTGAGAAGGAGACAGGTGGGCGACAGAAGATGAGATGACCACTCAGAATGATCAGATTTAGGGCGGGGAGGGCACCTCTTAGCCTGAGTGATGTGAAACCAGGATGGGAGTCCAGCAACTTTGACTGCTGTAGGGGTAGCCAAGTAGACCAGATGGGGGCCACTCCACCTTGGATGTAGTCCTGTGGATTTAGAACATTTGAGATAAATTAGATCTCCTGGGGATATGGGAGGATCTGGTTTGTTTTCTCCAGAGGGTTGTGGAAGGCAGAGATCAGCATGTTGTCAAAACAGGTGTTGGAGGAAGGAGAGGACTGGGACATAGTCAGCCATGGGAGGGAGATTTTGGGGAGTAGGAAGATTGTGGAGTCCCAAACCATGGGGTCAACCAGAGAAGGAGGAAGAGGGGGGAATGGCTTTGCGATACATTGTGAGGCTGTTTGGAGGATTAGGGCTGTGGGGAGAAAGTGAAGGACAAATTAAGTTTTTGAAGAAGGTCTCTACCTAAAAGGGGTGTGGGACATGTTGGGATTACTAGGAAGCTATGGGTGAAGAAAAGAGTCTGGAATCTACATGGGATAGGCCCAGTATACAAAGGTTGATTCGGCTGGCCGTCAACGCCCACAACAGAAATCAAGGACTTACTACAAGGTCCTGAAATTCAGGAAGTACACTATAAGTCCCCCCGTATCCACAAGCAGAGATATTATTTTGCCTGAGACCTCCAGTGAGACTTGGGGCTCCGACAAGGTTGCCGGAGTGGGAGCTGTGAGCCCTGAGCCCCATCAATATTCCACAGCAAGTCCGAGCAGGTCAGTCAGTGACAAATCTGGCATTGACAAAGTCTCCTGTGAGGGTGAGGGATTAGAGGATGGCCTAGCTGCTTGCTGGTGGCTAGGACAATCACTCTTCCAATGCCCTTTAATGTTGCAGTATGGGCAGGGCCCAGGAGGAGTGCCAGGGTTAGGGCAGGCTTTTGCCCAATGTCCTTGTTTGCTGCATTTGAAGCATGGTCCAGGCAGGACTCGGGCAGCCACACCTTGTTGTGGATTCTTTGTCTTGGGAGCTCCAAGTGCCACTGCTAAGAGGTCAGACTGATATTTAGCAAACTTTAATTTTTGAGCTTGCTTTTCTTCTTTTTGAATCTTATCTATTGTTGAAGATATGGAAAGCTAATTTAAGTAGATCACCTTGTGGAGTTTGAGGGCCACGTTCAACCTTTTGTAATTTTGCATGAATATCAGGAGCAGACTATGAAATAAGAGTTAACAACAATCATCCCTTCATGAGAGTGTGGGTTTACATTAGTATACTTGATTAAGGTTTCCCAAAGCCAATTTAAAAACACAGCCGGGTTTTCGTTAGCCTCCTGGACCTGTTCTAAAAACTTGTTGTAGTTAGTATGCTTCTGAGCAATCTTATTAAGGCCCACAATCAGACACTCAATCATCTTATGTAATTTTTTTGAACCTTGTCCATTCTGATAGTTCCAGTTAGGATCTTGGTCTGGCACAGCTACAGGCCCAGGGTCATTGTCAGTAGTATTTGCCCTGTGCCTGTGATCAGCTTCTTCTCGAGCTGCCTGCCACAGCTGATTTTGCTCTTGTGAGCTAAGGGTGGTATTTAAAATCACATAAACATCTTTAAAATGTAAATCATAACAATTAGTAATAAATTCAAATTGCCTGATATAATTCTGTGGGTCAACCGAGAAGCTACCTAATTTGTGGGTAATCTGGGATAGATCCAAAAGGGAAAAAGGTACATGGATATTGACCAGCCCCTCGGGGCTGGCTTGTTCTCAAAGCAGTAGCAGAGCCTGAGGAGAAGAAGAATGTGGGGGAGAGAGCCATTTGGGCAGCTATCCGCCTGGTAGATACGTGTGAGCAAGTTATCTGTAGAGCGGCTACAGAGCGGCTGCCGCTCACCCTGGGACGAGGAAACACAGGCAAATGGTGTTTCACTGTGTGCCTTGCAGCGAGAGGATTGCTGTTGGCAACCGTCATATGGACCACAACAGGGCGGCTGTTGCTGTTCACAAGAGGAGCCACAAGAGGGCCCATTGACTGCGAGACCCATCCAAACATGGTGGCGCCCATTGGCCATGTGACCCATCTAAACATGGCAGCACCCTGTCACGTGGCAGAGGGTTGCAACATGGCAACTGTTCCCAGCACAAGCTGGAACAATCACACTGCTTGCTGGAAGGACATAGCAACCGAGACCTAGTATGGTGGGTGGGCGGTGAGAATGCTGTAGGGGAATAAGAAGTCAGAGAATGTGAGGAAGCACTAACGAGGAATGAGAGCCGCTGGGAGAGTTATGGGTCCTGGGAGACGGAGGGGAAGACGATCGCACAGCATGAGATAACAGCAAGGAACAATTTTGAGGGTAGGGAGGTGGAGGCCGGGAAAACACTGGAGGAACATTGTCAAGTGAATCCTGGGGCAGTACGGAAAAGTTTGCGGCGCGGTAGAGTTAGCTAAAAGTATCTGAGCAAGAGCACAAGACTTAATGAGAGATGGGCGTGTTCTCAGAATAAGAAAGGCCTGAATATAAGGGAGTTCTAATAACTTGTAACTGGTCTGACAGAAATCATACAAATTCCCAAGAATGCAGGGGTCAAATGTTCCTTCCTTGGGCCAACGCTTGCCGATAAGAGGGTAGGTTGGCCAGACCTCCCGGCAGTAAAAAGTTAATTGTTTAGTTTTTATGGTATTTTAATCTTGAGTACATAAATTGGAAATTAGGCATTGTAAAGGCATCTTTTGGGAGTTAGAAAATACGTTTTCCATGACTGATTCAGGCAAGAAATAAGCCGTGGTCCAAAGAACAAGCCATCACTTGTTTGTGGCACCACACGGGGGCTAAGGTTCCAAAAACTCATATATTCCAGTCGTCACTGAGAGATTTACAAGTGTAGTTCACGTAGGGTCAGTAACAGTTTTGCCCATGAAAGCGCGAGGCTTTAAGGGAAGCGAGGGTCTTTCAGTGTGGGCGGTCCAAAATCTCTGCTTTGGGCTATCCAAACCCAAAGAACATAGAGATTTTAGAGTGTCGACACAGGTTTGCCCAGAAAAAACCCTGCCCTGGGCTGTCCTAAGGATGTGAAAATGCACAGACCAACTCTAACGGGGAAAACAGTCAACTGGGGCTGCCCAGTGCCAAGAGTTCCCCAGAGATTGCTCACCTGAAATCAATCTGGCCGATGGGGAGTGCAGGCGGCTGGCGACAAGTCAAACGTCTTGGGAGAAGAAAAAGAGAGGAATTAATCCAGGATGCTATCCAGTTTGTGAATCAGCTGGGGGACTCAACTGGTGTGTCCCAGGAGTCAATGCCTGCCGATCGAGTCATGGCACCAAATGATAGGATTATTTCCAAAAGATGAAAAGTATTTCCAAAAGATGAGAAGTATAAAACAAAAAGAGACCTTTATTCTGAGAACACGGACAGAGATGACTGGCACCCCCCACCACTGGAGTCCGGTGATCTCTCCAGCGGACACGTGGCATGGGGATATGTAAGTAGCCTCAGTTTGGGGTGGAACCTAAGGGGGCACCAGGGATGCACGGATAGCCCATTGGTCCTAGGTTTGGTGCCATAGGCAAATTCCCAGGGGCGGGGAAGAAGGCATCACAGGTAAATTCATAGGGGCGGGAGAGATAGGGGCTTCCTGGTTCTGGTTACAGTGTCCGGCCTGGGCCAAAAGCCTTTCAGGGGTGGAGCCAGGATATAATGTAATAGCAGGAAGAAAGTGTGTCTTGCTCTTTTGCTGGCTTCTGCCTTGCTGTTTGCAGCTGCCATGAACTGTGGATCTGCCATGCCACACCACCTGAAGCCAACTGAGTGTGGACTAAAACCTCCAAAAACTGTAAGAAATAAACCTTTCCTTTCCCAACTTGGGCTTCAGGTATTTTGTCTCAGCAAGTAAAAAGTAACTAAGACAGTTTTCATATCCACAAAAAGCTGTTCTTTTTATTTGAGCTCAGCAATCTTTTTTCTTTTCTTTTTTCTTTTGCATTTTCAGATCATTTAATCAAGGTTCATTTGGGTTACAGATTTAAAAAGCATGCTTCTACTTGGGTTGCCAGCTGGTCAAAATGATATTAAAATTGGTTAAACAAAATCTCTCAGGGTGGAGAGAGATTATTGGACAGGACTGCAATTGATGGTTAAGAAAACAGCTGCTGGACTTCCGGGAGAACATCGCAGACAAATAACAGCAGCCACGGAGGCTCTCTGAGATTACAGCTTAGAATCCAGGAGCGGTGCCGTGTCAGGAGTCCTACATGAGGGGAGATGTACCTTGCTGACCCAGGAACAAAGTAAGCTGAGAGAAACCAACTGGAAATGCAATCCTGATGCTATAACAGGAACAGATAAAATCTCAGTGTGGAAGCTGGACCCTGTGCCATTGGAAGCCACGATTTGAATTTCCTGCTGCTGATACTGCGGCCCAATCCGCACGGCAGGGAGAGAGGCACGCTAAGCTCTGAGAGCTGGAATCGGCGAACCAAACAGCGTTGAGAGCGGGACTGGCAGGGAGCCCTGCATCGACCTGTGGTGAGTGAGAGAAATGGGGACCCTTTCATAGACTAGGAGGCTCCAACAGAGGACATTCTGGGAACGGGCAGACTAGCCGGAACACAGCCCTGCAGTGACTTTAGCTGCATATTCCCCGCTCAAGCGGGAGTGGTGGGGAGTACTTGGCCTGATGACACCGCGGACTAAGATCCTGTAGGCTAGCCCAAATCAGGTCCCTGTGCCTGGTGGTGTGCCCTAGCAGTGAAACATTCAGTAGTTTAACCTGGAGCGGCGGGCCCAGCAGAGGCTGCCCAGGTCTGTGTCTTCCTAGTACACTGCAGTGGGCAGGGATACCTAGCCGGCAGATTCAAACAAAGTGCAACAGACAAAGAGAGAAAAAAAAAAAAAAAACTGAGCCTCCTACATACACTTGTATGGAAGGAACAAAAAGTATGGGAAAAGGGAGTAACAAGAAAGGGTCCTCAGTCCCCAATCCTGAGAACACTGATCCAGGAAAGGTAAAAGCAAAAGAGAATGAAGACAGAAAACATGCAATATCAGACACGGCACCTATAGATATAAAACGGTATCTCCGAAGCCTCAAAGACGAATTCAAAAATGAAGTATTTAATGAAATAAAGCAAGAAATAAGTAGAATAGTTAGAGAAATGCTAAGCACCACCCAAGAAAAAACAGATGGTGGAATGGAAGAACAGAAAAAAAGGGGAAAATTGTTTGATGGAGAAAATAGAGAAAACATAGAATACGTGAAGCAGGTTCACAGAGATTACCAGGAAACTAAAAACTCTATTGAAAGCTGGCATAACAGCTTGAGAGAAACTAAGGATAGATTATCAGAACTGGAGGACAGATTTGTAAGGTGGGAGCATGAAATGAAAAAATTCTTAAAAATAACAAGAAAACAAACAGCAATAATACAAAGACTAGAAGATGACAAGAGGATCTATAACTTAAGAATTAAGAACATAAAAGAAGTAGGGACTCAAACAAATGAACTACAAAAGCTATTCACAGAAATAATCCAGGAGAATTTCCCTAATTTAGCAAAAGGTAAAGATACTCAGATGTATGAGGCATACAGGACTCCAGCCACCTACAACCCAAACAGAGCTACACCCAGGCATATAATGATCAAAATTCCAGAAATCCAATATAAGAACAGAATATTAAAAGCCGTCAGAGACAAGAAACAGATCACTTACAAGGGAACACCCATCAGAATTACAGCAGACTTCTCGGCACAAACCATCAAATCACAAAGAGCGTGGGGGGAAATAATTCAAGCTTTGAAAGATAATAACCTCCAGCCAAGATTGATATATCCTGCACAACTGTCCCTAGAAATTGATGGAAAAACAAGGTGCTTCCAAGATAAAGAGGAACTAGGGGAATTTGCAACCACCAATTCAACTCTACAGAGATTACTGCAGGATATTCTAAAAATGAAAAATACCAAGATTCCAGAAACAGTGACAGAGCAGCCACAATGAATGGAGCAGAAAGCGAAATGAAGACAAACTGACAACTAGTGACAGAAAAAAAGCTCAACAGAAATGAGGCAGAGAAGGTTGGATGGTAGGAACAGCCATTTTGGAGAAAACAAGACATCATAATAGGTAGTGCTGATTTAATAGCCTCTTGTTTTGAAGTCCCATCAAGCTTTTGTTCTTCTGTCTCCATTGGTTTTAATGTGTTGTGTCTTACTGGATTTTATTATATGTGATAATATAAACAAAAACTTTTATAGACAAGGAGATTATACAGAAACCATTGTTCATTTTCTGTTAGTTGATTCTAAATACCCTGTAATACTGTCATTCTCTTCAATGGTTTTACATTGTCTTGATATGTTTGATGCTACAGTATACGAAGTTATACCCAAAGATTTTAAGGGAAGAGACACTATGGTACCTACTATTATGTCGAGATTATCTTGTGGTGAAACACTATTTTGCTTAAATGGCTATGTTTTGACCTGCACTGTTTTGTTGTTATACCCTCTTTTTTTTTTAATCTCAATCTCCTTTTTATTATCTACTTTTTCATTTTTATCCTTTTAATTAAGGGAAAAATAAATAAAAAATAGCAGGATATATTATAGTAACCCACTTTGATTTCCTATTAACTTGATTTGAAACTCTGTATTGCTCTCACCATCTTGTTTTGACTGATTTTCCTCTATTCTGTTATGCTAGATAGTACCAAGTTTGAAAGTCTAGGCAACAACTATGAAGACAATAAGATCCATTATGACGCCCATTCTGGTTGACTATTATCTTCTTTTGAAGTCCTCTAATGTCTCCAATGTTTTGGTTTTATTGGTCTTATTCTTTACTGTTTTGTTCAATTTTATTATAACTGATGATATAGGCAATTCTTTTTAAGATAACAAGAGGCATTATGGTAACCATTGTTGATCACCTTGTATTTTGTTTTTACATTATGTATTATGTCTATCCTTTTGATTTGACTGACTCTGTCCTGGTATGTTACATTTGGTTTTACTTTCTTAAAAAAAAAAAGTAATAAGAACTGTGGGAGTAATAAAACCCAAAATGTGTAATTGTCATTGTACAAAAGAAAGGAAAAGAAAGTTCTCTAAAAGGTATAACTGCATATATATTTAAGTGTATAAGATAGATAACCATATTACTGAGTTTTGTTGGATTATTGAACAAAACTGTTTGCAGTCTCACTGTTTGAAAGTCCCCTTTGTATGCTTTAATTTTGTAACTTCAACAACTATTTCTAAGATGACAATATGTAATTAACTAGTGATTTCCTACTGTTTATTTTTTCTGAAATTCTGTATAACTTGTACCCTTTTTCTGTTTTTTTTTTCTTTTTTCACCTTAAATAAAATTAAAAAAAAAAAAGAAAACAGCTGCCTGGTACACATTTTTAACCAGTTCTTATTCATTAATCAGAGACTCCAATAATCTCCATAACCTTATGGGAGATATCCCAACTAAAAGTATGTTAAGGTTTTTGACTTAAAGATGCTAAAACAAAAGTTTCACAAGGCTAAGACAATTCAATATTGCTGATCTTATGGTATATAAAATATATTCATGCCTTCAAGTATACAAATCTTCTAAAATGTAAAATTGGGATTGTTTATGCTTTTTTTTTTTTTTTAGTACTGGGAATCAAACTCAGGACCTTACACTTGCCAGGCAGGTGCTTGTGCCCTGAGCTAAATCCCTAGCCCATGTGTCTCTCTCTTGCCAGTTCATGCCTCACTGTTTGCAGCAGCCATGAATGGCAGTCCTGTCATGCCACCCTGCCTTGGAGCCAGCTGAGTATGGACTGAAATCTCCAAGAACTGTAAGAAATAAACCTTTCCTTCCCTAACTTTGGGAGTCAGGGGGTCTGGGGATTTAGCTCAGTGGTATAAGCACCTACCTGGCAAGCGCCAGGTTGTGAGTTCAATCCCTGGTACAAAAAAAAGGTCTGTGATGCTACAGAGGATTTACCAGGTAGGCTTGCGATGGCTGCCTATGGACTGCCTTGGAAACCCAAACTGGAGATGAATATCCAAAGGCAATGGCAAACACTGAATTTCCTCCAAAGGAGGGGAAAAAAAAAAAAAGGAAAACTTTGGGGATCAGGTATTTTGTCTCAACGAGCAAAAAGTAACTAAGACACTGACTAACCTACACAACTTCTTTCACGGGGGCCATTCCACAAGGTTCCAAACTCTCTTCTTTATCCATAGCTTTCTGGTAATACAGTATGTCCCAAGCTCAGAGCACTTCCCTGGGCTTCTATCTCTTTAAGTCCTTTAAACACATGTATGCCCGACCACTCCTACTTCACAATCTTCCTACCTCCTAAAATCTCCCTCCTCTTGTTGACTATATCCTGATCCTCTCCTTCCTCTCACACTTGTTACGACAACATGCTGATCTCTGTCTTCTCCAACCTTCTGATGATCAGACCTTCCTATATCCCCAGGTGACCTAATTTATCTTAAATCTTCTAAGTCCACAGGACTGCAACCAAAGTGGAGTGACCCCCCCACCCCATGGTCTTCCTCACAACTCCAATGGTGGTCAAGGTCACTGGACTGCCATCCTGGTTCCACGTCACTCAGGCTAAGTGGTGCCCTCCTAACCCTGACTCCCTTGACTCTAAACGTCCTAAGTGGTCATCACATCTCCTATCTCCCACTTGTCTCCACCTCACCAGGGGCCCACAGCCACAACTTTCAGACTAAGTCATGTTTCTTATCCTATCTGGTTCCTGATCCCTCACATTCTATTAGTTAAACATGAGACCCCTCTGGGTCTGGGCTCTTGTCTCACAGTGCCACAGTCACAGCCCTCCCCACCCCTAGTCTGTAATTTCCCAAACATGATTCAACTATCAGGCTTTATATTTCTCATGCTTCCCATTCTCTCCAGCTCAACCCTTGACCAAGTACAAGTCCTACCTACACTTTTACTTTTACCCTTTCAGATGGGGAATAATTGCCTTCTGTAACTTCATGCCTTCCAACTCCATGCTCATTTTTCAGATTCCCTACTGTCACCTTAGACCTTGTTGCAAACCTGGGATAAGGGAAAATCTAACCAAAATGGAGTAATTTGCCAGTCTATCAGATAAGCTATAGCTATTCTTCTTCACTATGGTTGTGGTAAAATAACATTCAAATCATGGGCACCTTTCCTTCTACCTCTCTTGGGTTCTTTAATTATGATAGTGACCTGCCTTCTCATAGCACCTTGTTCTTTTTATTTTTCCAATCTAGGATGAGAGCATTCATCAATGATAAACTCCTTGTCCAGGCTAAAACACTTGGAACCAGCTTCTACATGGGCATTAACCATCATCCTGTCAACCCTCCTGACCCCCAACAGGAAATAGTCAGAGGGACTCATCACCCTCTCTTAACAACAGAAAGATGGGAATGAAAGGTTTCTGCATTAGTGTAGGTTACTGGACGTTATGGTGGTTGTCTAACACGGTGGCAGGCCAAAACAAAAATACTTACCCTGATGATCACTTCCTCCTCCTTCCCCTTCAACCCTGATTACAACTTCCTCTTTCCTTTCCCATGCATGCAAAGAGAATTCCAATCAGTTCCTCACACATCATCAATGCCTGCCCCAAGCACTGTTTCCAATCAGAGGTCAACAGCTCCCCACAAAAAGAAATCTCCCGCCATGTTTCTCTCTGGCACAGGAGAAATGCCCAACTCCACAAGTGGTGCGCTCCTCTCCACATCCTCAATAAAGGCTTTTGCTTCTCTATTGCACTGGAAGACCTTAACAGATTTCACTATGCACTTTGGGCTGGCCTCGAACTCACAGTAATTCACCTATCTCTGCCTTCTGAGAGGTGAGATTACAGGCATGCACCAACATACCCAGTTGAAAAATTCCCTCTTGCCCATTATGGTTTGACTATTTTCTTTTGAAATCCTGTTAGGTCTCCAGTGTAGGTTTTATTGGTCTTGTTCTGTACTGTTTTGATCAATTCTATTATACCTGACGAGATAGGCAACTTTTTAAAAAAATAGCAAGAGGCACAATGGTAACCATTTTAGATCACCTGATATTCTATTTTTACATCATGTACTATGCCCATCCTTTTGTTCTAACCGACTCTGTTTTGTTTAGCCACATTAGGTTTTATTCTCTCCAAAAAAATAATAAGAATTGTGGGAGTAAAAAAACCCAAAAAGTGTAATTGTTATTAAAAAGAGAGGAAAGGAAGGTGGTCTAAGGGATATGCATGTATATTTGAGTATGTAGGATGGAAATCCATATTACTGAACTTTTGTTGGATCATTGATCGGCACTGTCTGCAATCTTATTGTATGAATGTTCACTTTACATGCTTTAATTTTATAATTTGGACAACTATTTCAAAGATGACAACATGTAACCTATTAATTGGTGATATCTTACTGTATTTTTTTCCTTGAAGTTCTGTATTGTTTGTGCCCTTTTACTGTTTTTTAAAAAATTTTATTTCCTTTTTTTTTCTTCTTTAAATAAAAAAAAAATTAGAAATCAACAACAGAAGGAAAATTGTGAATTCACAAATATAGGGGAAATCATACATTCTTAAATCAGGTGTGTTGGT